GAATGGGGGGGGGGGTGCTGGGAAGGCCTGGCTCTGCTCCGGCCCAGCTGCAGAGTAGGGCTGGAGATCAGAGGAGGCCCCCATCTGTGCAGGTGGAGGGACCAGCATGATGCTTGCCTGTCAAAGCTGCACAAACAGTCACGAGGCGGGTTGCAAAACAGGGGGTGGGGCAAGAGTCCAGGGCTGGCTGAGACATCCAGAAACCGAGCCTGGGAACCACTCGAGCAGGGAGCCCCTGCCAGGAGCAGGACACCCAGCCTGGGATCTCCCTCCACCTGCCCACCCCAGCCCCACACTCCAGGCGTGGGCAGTTGAGAAAGGCCAGGAGTGATCTCCCAGCCTGGCTCTGTGCTGCCCGGAGCCCTCCGCATCCCCCACTCCTCCCAGCCAGGGCACTCACTGCGGTGGACAGCCTCGATGCCAGGGTCATTTCCAGGTTCCCCTTAAGCCCCAGCAGTGCAGGCACCAGGATGAAGACCTCTGTCACCTTCTGGAAGACTTCCCAGTGCTACAAGGTGAAAACAGATCTCAGGAATTTCAGTGCCCCAAGGGACTGGCTTCAAGGTTGAACAGATAGTCTGGAATCAGGGGCTTGAGGAGGAAATGGAGTCAGCAGGGAGTGAGCACATCAGCCACCTTTCCTCCAAGAACTCTGGAACCAAACCAAGCCTGTGGTGCTCCAAACAACACAGCACCCCTCCCACCCCTCAGAACAGGGGAGATGCGGAGGGTTCTGGTCAGGAGCCCCCAGCCTGGCTCCACTTCCTCTGCCTGCGATTTGGAGCCAGGGGGAAGAGAACGGTGAGGAGCCACACAGCTGAGCCACCCCAGGTGGCTCACACCCCCAAATTCCTTTGAGATTCCCCCTCAAATCGCAATCCCCAACCCCACTGTCTTTAGTCCATTTTCTCTGTGGCCTCAACCTTGGGTAGTGTTGTCTCAGCTGTTGAGAGCTGGGCTCCACGGGGCTGAGATTAGAGTTTGTTTGGTTTCTATCTCTAAGGGCTTTGGGCCTCAGCCATAGCAATGTTCCTTCTGAACCGGATCTGAATTAAGACCGTAGCCCCCAAACCTCAAAATACTGGTCTGCAAGAGGCTTTTTATTCCTCCTCTGCACCTCTCCCTGAATACCTTCCCCGACCTCTCAGGGAGGAGGCAGGCGTAACCCTGCAGGGAGAGCACTGGGCTGGGAGTCAGGAGACACAGGTTCCAGCCTGACTTAGGCCTGGC